GGATAAGAGATATAGAATATAGTTAGTAACGATAGATTAAGGATACAAGTTTCTACGAGAGAGACTTACAGTTAACAAGTAATGTATTCTGTATGACTTGTTCTAGGTATTACTATACCTATAAAGTGTATACTAATTATATATAACTTGGGTATAATCGACCTTCGATTAAATGACCCGACTCTAAATCCACAACCAAACAAGGAACAGGAAATGAAGCTAGATCACATATTCTAAGTCTATATAACTTTAATTATATATAACTGTAATATACCCTTAATATTTATAATTCTACCCTTAATGGTTCTTTTGTTTTCACATGTTTGTTATTAGTATATAGTGCCTAAAATACCCTATAGTATTTTAATCTTTATGTTCTGTTCTATAGTTCTTCTGTATATGTATGGTTGGTAAGTTTTAGACATGTCGCAACACTACTATCACTTCTAAACACATGTTGTTCATATCTCAAATCAATATAGTTGATCAGGCTATATTAATCCAAGATATGATTACATAACTCCCAGGTTTGACTGTAATGTCCAACATCCAAACACTTTTAAGTTCTTATGACTGTGATATTGTACTTATACGTATGAGTGTTAGTATACTTCTTGTAAAAAATACTTAAATTTTTAAAAAGTATAATTGTAGTCATAGCTCTTAGCCCCAAATGTATTTATAGTTTGTATATCTTTTATGGATTGATATATTAAGTTCACTATAAACAATGATCTGATACCAGTCTGTCACACCCCCAAACCAGACAGCGGAAACGTCTGGGGTGAATGACTTCATTTTTAGTATCACAACACATGCATTATAGTAATCAAAGTACAAACAACCATTATATTTAAAAAGTATAAGTATTTACATGTGATCCATCATTGTATATTGAAACCAAAATAGTTATACAACAGAAGAACACAAGACTCAAAATAGCTCCATCTTCTCAAAAGCTCGGGGAGTACCTGTCTACTGGTTCCATGAGAATACAAGTAATTTGAAAAGAGAGTATCAACATAAAGTTGAGTGAGTGCATAAGTGTTTATGATTGAAAGAATGTTTTCTGTTTCTTGAATATGTAAACTGTTCCAGAAAATTTTATATTTTCTGTTGTATATGAAAAGTAGTTTTAATCTCATAAAATCGTTATGTTTGTATAACAATGTTTTGTATTTGTATTCCTTTTTGTAAAACTTGTAACTGTGAATGTGCCTGGTTCCACCAGCTGCTAATGTAGACTATAATGTAATACTGTAAATTGTATCTTGTAAAACTAGTACTTTGAAAATGTACTTATGTTTAGTTAATTATACACTAACGTATTGTTAATATCTTTTTAATGAGTTATTATAACCATACTGACTAGATGGCCTGACCCAACGCATTGAAGGCGTTGAAAACTGTTGATAACATCTGTCACTCATAGGCGTGTATGCCTGACTGTAGCTAGCAGTCTGAGTGCGGGGTTGTCAATCCCAATATAGATCTATACACACATTGTTTCGATCCCCGACTGGAGATTATGGTTATAATGTCAGGACTTTAAACAATATTGTTTAAATGAAATAAAAAACCTGTATCAAATGACTCATAAAAAGCATATAAACGTTACAGTATAATAGTTATGAAAACCCAATCATTCTGAAATAAATGATTGACAGTATGTTCTTGAATTAGTATTCTTAACATGTATAGAAAGAGTATATTCTTGATTAGTTTTGAAATCAAACCTTTGTTCTTGTAAAACAATGTACTTTAGTATACTTAAATCGTAAAATTAATGTTCTGTGAATCAAAATTATACCGATTTTAATTTATATGTACGTTCTGAATTGATACCGAGTATGCATGAATGCACACCCTTGCTCAACATGTTACAAAGGGTATTGTGAACTGAATGAAATAGCTTTTATATTTATATACATAGAACATAAGAGTATAAGGAAATTTTAATGACACGCGGACAAATAACCAATACTTCTTAATCCCCCATCCAAACAAGGAAAAGGAACCAAAGTGGATTATCAGTTCTAAGCCTTTTAAATCTGAGATATATAGAATATATATATATTTATATATATATATATATATATATATAGATATATATATATATATATATATATATATATATATATATATATATAATTTCTGGGGAAAAATATAAGTTTATAAAAACATTTAAAAGAAGTTTAATATTTTGAAATACTTTTGGTGACTTGATGTCATTTAACACAATTTTTTTTAAAACCACTTGAATTGATGATAACTAAAATCCATTTTGACAAGATATTTGAAACCATTTGTTATTAACACAAAATCATGTGGTTATACTTGTATGCCTCCCCCCCCCCCCTTAAACACAGTAAAAACTATGAAAATACGGGGGTATGAACTCACCTTTCGGAGGGTGATTCATGATTCAAATGATGATTTTTTGGTATAGGATGTTTAGTTCCACGAGTGAAATCCCGCAACAAAAAAGTCCTATATATATATATATATATATATATATATATATATATATATATATATATATATATATATATATATATAGGGAAAAAATCAAATGAGAACACCTAAAAGGTTGAGAACGCGAGAACAATTCTGGACCAATCAATATAAGGGCATATTAGTAATTGTATATTTTAATTAAATTAAAATAAAATAAAATTCAATCAAATTCCCTTAAATTTAGGAGCAGCTACCAAAAAAGAAATAAATATTCAATTTTTTATTTTTCTTATTAATGGAATATAAAAAACATTTTTACCAAAATTTATCTTAAAACTGAAAAAAAAAATTAAGAAAAACAATTTTTTTCTTCTATTTCACGATTTTTTTTTTCAAAAAAATGAATAGAAATCGAACCCTAAATTAATACATTTGTATTCACAAATGATTTTTTTTCAAAAAACCTGATATATTCTCCAATCACAAATGAATACACATCAATTTACAAGTAATCCAATTCCTTTTTTTAATCGACTGAAAAATAAAAAGAGTGTAAAAATTATCATTTCTTCATAAAAAGAATACCTCTAATCATAAATAAATACATTCATTAACACATGATTACACTGCTATTCACAAATGAATACACTGCTATTAACAAATGAGTTCCCTGTTATTCACAAATGAATAAACGAATACCTCTAATCATAAATAAATATATTCATTGACACATGAATGCACTACTATTCACAAATGAATACACTGCTATTCATAACTAAATACACATTTTAACATTAATGAATTCATCAAAATATAATATAACTTACATCTAAAAAAATATAGTACAGAATACAATTTTTCATTCTCCTCTAGCTCAGCTTTACCATTTGGTTTCCCATCAACTTTAGGAATAACTTTGATGTTAAGATCAACCACGGAGCTTGAAGCTTCAACAATTCGAGCATAAGACTTTTTGCTAACATCATTGACAATAGTAACCACTGGGATGATTTTGATTTGGAATCATTATCAACAATCACCGGCTCATTATCCCATTTAAGATCCAAAAAACTAACTCCCTGCTTCATTTTCAAATCAGTCCCAGTATCTGATCCCATCTTCACATCCTCATTTGAACCCTCATTCATTACTTCATCATTACCACTACCAGAATGCTTCACAATCTTCATAGGAATAAGAATCCTAACATGAGATGTTTCATGAACATGGGACGTACCAGGAATTTTACCCAAAATACCCTTAGCATGGATTCCAGCATTCAAAGAAGGAGGCGACGAAGGTTGCGAACTGTCAGCCTTGGATTAGGAAGAATTAAACCCTTTAACCATATCAGAAGTAGCTTGTATCAAAACGAATCCCTTTTCTTCCACCAAATCATTGATTGTCTTATTATTTCCATAAATTTGAAAAGTATTCTGAATTTCAATGTTCTTACCACCATCGATAATTTTATCCATCGCTGCTAGTTCAGATTTGATAAAATTTGGATCAACATTCTCCTTGCCACATCCCGATTTGATTACATCTCTAACCCCATCGCGCAAAACATACTTTGAACCTTCCTCTTCACCAACAAAACAGAGAATCGATTGATTAACTGGAGCGTAACATATGTGTTGGTTGTTGTCATCGGAAGTCACGATACCGAAGGGTGTATCTATGTGTGTGTTCGTGTGTTGTTGGGAGGGCCAAGAAAGAAAGTGGATGAACATCAGAAAGAAATTGAAGTTGAGATTGGTTAAAATGGAAGCAATCAGGTCCGATGAACAAAAATCGAGTTGTAGGAGTGCTCTTCCGCTGATTCTATGGCCTCCTCCGGCTCTGATATGTTCTATGAGATGAGGCGTTGAGATGAATAATTCTATGAGATTAGGTCAACAAAATAAAGTGACATAGAGTAATTATAGGAGTTTACAAAATTAGGGTAATGCTTATTTACCTTAATAGCCTTTACAATTTTTTTTAATTTAAAATTTAAAATTTAAATGTATTAATAATTAGAAAAATAACAATTAATTATAGCCACACATCTTAAAACTTAGATGGTCCAGATCTGTTCTCGCGTTCTCAACCTTTTAGGTGTTCTCATTTGATCCTACTCCTATATATATATATATATATATATCTATATATATATATATATATATATATATATATATATATATATCTATATCTATATATATATATATATATATATATTTGTTTAGCATATATACATCCAATTAGCTAAAATAATCATAGGAATTATTAGAAACCGGACTAATTTGTAAGTATAACTTACAAATTGAAGTGTTTGAAGCTAGATTGGAGGCCGAAATAGGTTTACGCCCAGGAGTTTACGGCCAGGTGTTCTTGAAGGATGAAGAACACTTGATGATCCTAGACCAGATTTTAAGAAGATTCAAAGGTTTTGAGGTGCTTGTTCTTCGTGTTCTTCACGTGTTCTTCGCGTTCTTCGTGAAAACTAGTAAAATCAATGGATTTTAGCCTAATAATTGAAGATGGAAGGGTATTCTTCAAGGGATAACAAGATCAAGAATTGATACCTGTTAGATTATGTGATGAACTAGTGTTTAATCACTTGAATAAGATGAACAAGGATGATCTTGGTGTGTTCTTGAGGAGATATGATGTTCTTGGTGGATGACACTTGAGAGAATTTGAGAGTTCTTGGCTGGAAGATGTGAGAAATGAAGGAAATATGAAGGAAATATATATATATATTATATATATATATCTATATATATTATATATAGATATATATATATATATATATATATATATATATATATATATATAATATATATATCTATATATATATATATATGTGTGTGTGAGGGTTCACAATCCGAGGGTTTACGGCCGTGAACCTCGTTTACGGTCCGAGGTCGGTTAGAGTTTACGACCGAGAACATGTCCCAATGCGATAAGGTTCGATTTCTGAGAAGATAAGATACGAAGAGTTTACGGCCGAAGCCTGATTATGGCCAAAGCCATTCTCGGCCTCGTTCACGACTGCGAGGAGTGTACAGTCCGAGGAGTATACGGCCTTAAACCTTTTGCGGCCCGAAGCATTTGCGGTCAGAAGCGAAGGAATAAGATGCGAAGTTTCTCGGTTTTTAAGTCTTTTCCTTCTAAATTTAATTGTAATTATTATAACCTAAATAAAAATCCAAACAATAAAAAGGACTTTAGTTGACCCTCGTTTGACTTTGGTTGACTTTACAAGATAGAAAATAACGAGATGTTACATGGAGTTGTCCCTCCAACCTCAGGTGCCTCAACTGGTGTGGTACCCGGTAAGGGTACAGGAGGACCAGGTGTTAATGATCCTTTGCGTGAAGATTTTGTCAACAGGGCACATTCGAGGCATTCGGAACTTGCAAGGTCTCAAGTTGAAGCCACACGCATTTCAATGCGAAACAGGGCTATTCAGAGCAATCTTTCTTATGTTGCTCCTTCAGACGATATTGCTGATCTTGAGTTTACCTCCGGAGAAACTCCCAAGACTCCACCACATGCTTTCATTCATTCCGCTTCGGATGATGAAATTTCCGAAGAAGTGATGCTGACCGAAGACGGTGCACATGTTGCTGATACAAATGTGTTTTCTTCTATTCGTTTTCACTCCATACCATCCTCATCCAAGTCTGCTTTTGATTTTGGATCCTCCTCCTCCACTCATGACAATGAATTTTGAATCCACTCAGAAACTTCATGATGATGCAACTACCAACAAACCTGGTCCTTCGGTTACTCTAATCAATCCTGAATCTCACAAGCACAAGCCTCAACATTCCAGCTCAAATAACGGATCCTCAGGACGAGACCACATTGATCCGTTTTCTCTTCTTGACATCCAAACCAATGTGTCAAACACGATGAAGAAGGTCAACTCTCTTGAAGCCTCCATAGCACGGCTTAACTCGAAGATTGATGAGAAAGTCTACTGACTGGATTCAAAGCTAGATGACATCCTTTAATCTTTATCTGAAGCCAATACGTCCGGACCCACTTTGGCTGAACGTGAAGCCCAGTTAGATCAACTCATCTCCTTACGGCTCAAGCATACCGTTGAGGAAGTTGAAAAGAAGTATGATGAAAGTGTCGATCACTAGCTTGACACTATCACCAAGATGTTGAAGGTCCATGACGATAGGTTGAATGCTTCCACTGAACTTATAAAGCAAACACATATTCGTCATGAGAAGCAGATCCTACGCCTGGAAAAGGAGTTCCGGAAGAAGGATGAGATGAATCTCATCATACAACAAGTCTTCCTCAAGCTTCTCCGGTCTTGCTGGAATATTGTGGATGTTCCGAACCAAAAGTTTGATGAGATGATCTATATACTCTCCAACCTGTTCAACCATCTCAAAGCCCAAGCCCCCACTGTTGACGCTTATGACACCCTTACCCTTCAAATCAACATCAACTTTCAGAAGGTGTTTGAAAAAATTTCAGAAATGAAGGAATCACTTATGCTTGCTCCGGTTGCCAGGTCCACCGTTGCAAGAGAGGGAGAAGGTCCAAGTAAACCCTGGAAGACTGCCTTGGAATATCAACTCCGAGATGAAGATGTGAATTCCGATTATAAAGTCCAAGTTCTTTCCGGACTTCTAGGAAATGATGATGATGATGATGGTAGTGATGAAAAGGAAGTGGAGTACATTAAAAATGTTGTAGTTGGAATCCCAGCTCCAAAGAAATTTCCTGCCAAGGTGCTCACGGAGGAAGAGCAGAGAATCTGGTCCGCAGTCTCATGGCCATCCACTCTTCCGGATGTGTTTCAAAAAAAGTATTCAAATGGCCAAAGCCAAGACCAACTTAACGGTTGACGCTTTCCGGGCGACTCCATCCATGCTGCCACCAATTCCGGCTCCAAAAATTGCTCCGATTGACGAAGGTTCTCCCCTCCGGAATCCTGACGACATTCCGGAAGAACCTCTTTAATCCTCTCCTCAAAAGTTCACTATTGACGAGAACATGTTGCATGTTATCTCGGTTCTCAACAAAGACAAAGGCAAGAAGCCCATCACAGAAGGATCTCAATCTTTTCACTCCGGACCTCCACTAAGGCAAAAATTTGAATGGTCTCAGGAGGAAATCAACAAAGCCCTAGAGGATAGCATCCGGATCCAAGCTCTCAAAGATAATCCTGATCCGATGCGCAGTATCTCTCCTATATGCCGTGAAGGCATTCTTTATGATTCAGACATAGTACCCTTCACGTGCTATGATATTCCAACAAATGATTCGGAACAACTCGATCTGCCTCACTCTCTCCATACAGCAAGTTCTATATCAAGTTTGCTCCTCTCCACCCAAATGACAATCCGGAGATGATCATCCGGACAGAACGTGAAAGATTAAAAACATTCTACTCCAAGAACGCACAACCTCAAAATGAAGTGTGGACAAGGAAGAAGATAACAAAGATCTCTGGGTTCGGAAGGAAGATCTTGACGAAATATGAACTCCACTGCCCATTATTCTGATATCCGATCATCCGGAACAAACCAACATACCGCACCATCACTGATGCTGACATTCCTGTAATCAATCCAAACGATGTTCTGACCATTTCTGCTCATCTCCGAAGTCTCCAAAAGGATGATATCAGCGTGGGTGCTTACCACGCAGCCTTAGGCTTTCTCAAAGACTATGTCGCGGAATTTTGTTGATGCGACTATGAGCTAGCTCACTTGTTTGGAACTGAAGATTTTGTTGCCAAGATTGAATATGTGCTACCAGAAGCTGAACTGGTAGCTGAAGGACCTATTGATGATTCGGTTCTAGGGTTTGTGTACAAGACAAAGAAGACAAACAAAAATGACTTCTTCAGAGTCTTTGACAAACACCTAGTTCTGACAAGAGCTGTCAAGAAGTTTATCAGTCGAGCATCTAGGTCCGAAGCTCCTGAACATGTCAAGGCAAATCTTGTGAGTCAGTTGCAGTGGTATGTCGATGTCATGGATTGGTTGTTTAGAGCCTACACGTTCATCAAGGAAGAAGGGAATTGATCTGACTTGATTGCTAAGTTCACTTAGGGGGAGATTGTTGGAACCTGAAAGTGAACCTATAGCAATATCAAACTACTTTGAAGATCTGAAGTCAGTCAGAGTTCCGAAATGAATGATGCTAACAAATAAGTTGGTGTCCGGACATA